GCCACAACGCCTAGCTATTTTTTGGTTGCAGCCATTATTGTTGTTTGGCGGGTCCGGGCTGGATTCCAACCCGCCACCTTAGGTGTATGTGGCTGGCGCCTTAGCCGGTTGAGCCACAGGCGCCGAGCCCAGGAAGTTCTTCTGTCTCCATCAGCATCATGTACCCAGAATGATATTTCTTGCCATGTCCAAGGCTTCACCAACTCCAAACCACCACCACCTCTCCCTAGGGCAATGTCACAGCTGCCTTCCAGTCTCCTGCTATTGGCTTTGATGCCTTCAGTCTGTTCTCCACACATCTGCCTTTGAATACATGTCAAATCCCTTCATACCCTGCTTGGGGCATGAGTTATGCAGTAAGTTATGCTCCTCCCTAAGGAGGAGGTAAAAGGTAGCACGGAATCAGGCCCAGAAGGCCCGTCACACTTAGCAGTGTCACTGGATGGCCTGGCCCAGTTCTTGTTATTGTTCCTGCCTGTGACTTCAGGACCCGCAGAGGCTTCTGAATGAAGGCTCAAAAGGCATCAGTCATATAGATCCTTACAGATTGGTCACTGATCCACCTTCCTCTCCCCACCCAATCTCCCATTCCAGTGTTCCTATGTATGTGATGCAAAGCTAGACAAGGCAAGTTCTCTCTGACAGCCCTAGCAATAATTTACTCTTTTATTCCCTCCACAAGTGTTTTACTAAGGGGCTGAGCTCAGTGGCTCATACCTATAATCCTACCACTTTGAGAGGCCAAGATGGGTGGATTGCTTGAGTTCAGGAGTTTGAGACCATACTGAACAATAGCAAGACCTCTTCTCTACTAAAAATAGAAAAATTAAGGCATTGTGGGGGGCTCCTATAGTCCCAGCTACTTGGGAAGCTGAGGCAAGAAGATAGCTTGAGTCCAAGAGTTTGAGGTTGCTGTGAGGTATAATGACATCATGGCACTCAAACCCACACAGCAGAGTGAGTCTCTGTCTCAAGTAAATAAAATAAAATAAAATAAAATAAAAAGTGCTTACCAAGGGCTGTCATGGACTAGACACTGGGGATGTGGCAAAAATGAACATAGCAAGAATTCAACTGATTAATGAGGTCTCTTGCCTCTGGGGGCAAGAGGAGGGAAACAGACAATGAAAGAACAAACAACATAATTGTGTGCAGGGTGACTACAATGGAGAAAAGGCACCAAGCTGAAGTGCAGAGCTTGGCGTTTACGTCCAAAGCAGTAGGAAAGGTGGATCTAAGAAAGGGACATCTGAGCTAAGATCAACCCAAAGGCTTTGGCTGAGCACAAAAAAGATGTAGAGGAAGCCATTCCTGGCAGAAAGCACAGAAAATGCAAAAATCCTGGGCGGTGCCTGTGGCTCAATGAGTGGGGCGCCAGCCCCATATACCAAGGGTGGCGGGTTCAAACCCGGCCCAGCCAAACTGCAACAAAAAAATAGCTGGGCGTTGTGGCAGGCGCCTCTAATCCCAGCTACTTGAGAGGCTGAGGCAAGAGAATCACCTAAATCCAGGAGTTGGAGGTTGCTGTGAGCTGTGACGCCAAGGCACTCTACTAGGGGCAATAAGGTGAGACTCTGTCTCTATTAAAAAAAAAAAGAAAGAAAGAAAGAAAGAAAATGCAAAGATCTTAAAGAAAGAACAAGTTTGACATTTGGAAAGAATATGAAGAAAGTGCTTGGTTTTAATGGAAGAAATAAATCAGTGTTCAAGGAAAAGATGCATAGAGTCGAACATGAGGGAACGGACCAAATATCTGAAGGGCAAATCCAGGAATAGTGATGCATAAACCACAGGAATCCTAGAAAGAGTAAAACAGACAGGTAGCACTGACTAGCCAAATTACAGAAGGAAACTTCCATGACATGAAGAAAAGCTGTGTCTACAGGTGTGTGGGGCTGTCCACATTCCCAGTAAGACTATAGCAAAACTCTTTAAAAAAATTTTTTTTCCAAACACCAACTCAAACCAGATATAGTAAAACTCTTAAACTTCAAGGAAAAAGAGACTATTATATAAGCTGGTCTGAGTGCAGTGGCATTTACAACTAATAATCACAACCAGTTAGAGATTCTTTTGTT